TGATCGGCAATGTGCTGCAGGTGCTTCAGACTCCAATCGACAGCAGATTGTGGACAGCTTCTTGACCAAGCAACAACGTAGAGGCTGAAAATCAGTATGTATACATCGAGGATGTGTGGTATGCTGTGTGCATGTTGTTTACCCGTGCTTCCAATAGGCAGCTTATCCTTTGCGACTAGGTCGCAGTCCGTCATCTGAGGAACCGATGCGACGATCTCCTGGACGAGGGTCAAGATGGCAGTATTTGCTCGATCACACTGAGCAGCAACTTCAGGATCACAGCTCTCGGAACAGGACTGAATGATCTCCTCGCAGAGAAGTATTCGGGCTATGCGAAGCACGTTCCACATCTGGGTGATCATGCGATCGGGGTAGACGTCGTATACCCTTGGGAATCCTGCGGGTACAAGTCTTGCACCATCAGGGCCGGACAAACTTTTGCGTTCATACGTCCAAGCCGGGCTTGCTTCAAGTGCAACAACCTCGAGCTTTCGATCAAAGTACTCGCTCTTCGTTATCCTTTCTTCCGCCGTCATACAGCCCTTGCGCATCTCTGCGGCTAGATCAGTTATGTCAAGCATCAGTCCGCTGAGTTTCCACTTCGGATAGTCAGTGTTGACGAATTGTGCTGCGTGTACTCGTATTTGTCGTATGGAAGGATCCACCACTCGCCCGGTGCTCAATGAGCATATCGTCGCGTTCAGGGAAAGTCCCATCAACGCCCGTAGCTCAGTGCCTTCCTTGAACGAGTCTACACCTCGCAGTTTAACCAACGTGAGAGCGCCCTCGATATGGGCGTGTCCTGATGTGTTGATCTCCAAGGCTGACTTCATGATCTTCTCAAAGAGATCCAGCAACAACGCGCCTTCGAAAGTCGATGCCGCTTTTGCTGTCGTGGGATCTTGCAGGGCGATGTTGATCTCCCGTAGTGCTTGACAGTACTTCCTGCGTCCTAGATCTCTTGCAGTCTCAGAAGAAACCTGATGGGACAAGAAGGCGAGACTGACCGCCTCGATGCTCAAAGTAAGATATTTGGGCGCGGATCTTGGGTCCAGATAGTTGTACAGGAAGTCCCATGTGCGACTAAAATCGGAGACATAGTACGTGAAGAACATGTCTCTACCTAGAATCAAAAGGTCTTGGGGTAGATGTCGAACTTTAAGCTTGACTTTGGGTTCGCCAACACATCGTTGCTGCAGTGGGGACCCTGTCTTTGCTAGAGCCTTCGTCCGTACAAAGTCGGTCTCATCGCTGATCCGAATGTTTATCGTGTCGCGATAGCCGGTGCATGCTGCCCCCACTCGAATGCAGGAGTTGCAACTTGGCCGTTGCAGATCACACTGGATGTGTCAGTAAGGAATCCCAACTTTGGAACCGAGGCATACTCGTAGTCTTCTCTCCCTACATCTTTCGCAAAACTTGGATGGTTTGCCGCGGAACACCATCAGATTCTCTGCAGCGTGAATGGGTTGTCAATCTGTGGGCCTGTTGAGCCTGAATTGATACTAAAAGATATAAAGTGTAGATTCAATCTAATTGACAAGTCTCATTTTACCAAGCAGATGAGAGTGGTTGTGTGGTGTATAGGGCTGCCGGCAGCATATAGATGACTGGAAGCTGACTGCCGTACTAGTCCCAAGAAGGAATGCATTTCGTGCTGCGTCCACTAGCGCGATGTAAGCATGAGAGACGACTGTCAGCCAGTCGCGTAGGGGGTAGATGTTGCATTCCGAGGTCTGGCCTATCATCTAATAGTCTGGACTTATTGATGAAAGGTTTCTAAAGGTCAGCTACGTTTCACAGCCGCGTAACTACAAGCTCCATCCAATGACAAAAGCGTAGATGCGTCGTATGCACTGCTCGACCTGATATCGTAAATCGCCTTGGCCGCTGCCTACATCATCGTGCATTGGATTCCCAATGAAGTGAGTTGGGTGGGAAGAAATCATGGCACCCGATAAGACTTATGTCGCGCCTTCCACCTCCAAGCCAGGTCCTATCCTTACCTACAGCTCGAGGGCGAGCTGTACATGCATCGCAACACAGAGCACATATTGAGCGCATCGCGGGGATCCATAAAATTTGGAAGGGAAGATAGAGGTGCATTCCATGCTTGCAGTCGATCTGCATCTTTGATGAACAACGAAGCCTAATCGCTATCGTCGTATTTATTCCCAACCCCAACATCACCTAGTAATATGTCATCAGGCGCCGGGCCCCTGTGATTCCTCACCCACTCTGTCTCTACGCGGAAGAAGATCCATATCCATCTCCGCAACACCTCGAGAACTTCCATTGTAAAGATGCCCCCTTCCAAATCGTTGAAATGATCCAGATGCACACTGAGTTTCAGACTCCAAGTGCACCTCAGCATTGCGTCCACTGCAATCGCTGCATAGTAGAATTCTTTGGCATGGAACCAGCGATGCCGTCTTAGACCCCGTGGGTATTCTGGGCTATCCCGAGTACGAGCATTAGAGAAGAGGGTAAGATCCCAATCCTTGGCGACGTCCCAGTAGAAAGAGTAGCCAGAGTTCACCACCACTGCGACGAGCCACATACGGAACAACGTCGCTTCCGAAACACCAAAGCGTGAAGGATCAGGCGAGCGTTGCAGAGCACTCAGTATGATGACAGGAAATGCGGTCGAGTACTTCAGTGCGTTGGCCAAATGCTGGCCACCCCATCCTGTCGCTGGACTGATCTGCCCGGTTTGCTTGTTCGCCTTCTGAACACGATAGTATTCCGTGATACACTGCCGCAATCGAATCATCGAGGGTATGGCAATGATGAAGGGAACCCAAAACACGCCGCCGCAACTCCTGTTCGGGGGCCCTGTTGAGCTGTGCGACGACGAGAAGAACATGCACAGTGAGACGAATAGATCGCCCAGCACCTTCGCATAACTCGTCAACGCATCGGCGAGCAGAATGTCTCCAAACTTTCCGTCTTGTGCTTCTGCGATGCCGCCGATCGATATGCGCTTCAGCGTCGCCAGTGTACGAGTCCGTCCATTGCGACTAACAAATGGCAGCGGTATGACGAAGCCAATTACTAATACCAAGAGGTATAGGTTTGGCAGAATTTCCCAAGCGACAATGTCTGTGGGGCTGCCGTGCGTAAGGGTCCAGAATAGGAGCAGCGAGAGGGCGAGCGGGATGGAGAGGAAGGTTGCGATGCGGTAGCAGGAGAGGTGGTGCGGGATATGGCGGGGTGAGGTACGGCCCGGGTAGCGGATCAGACTCGGGACGTCTATCTTTATGAGGGTGAGGTAGTGGAGGTTTAGACCCCAGGCCCAGATGCCTGTGCGGCAGTTAGTAAGGTGGTTGAGAGCAGATGGCGTGAGCGTTCGCATACCCAAGACTATTATAAGAGCGACGCGATACGGCAGGGGCAGCACGCGACTGAAGCCATCGATTTCTGGCTCGACGGCGGGATCACCGTCCATTTCTCGAATGCGCGCTCGGTGCCGTGGCGGTTGCTGTGTCCCAGCCTGTTCTCTGCCGTATGATCATGAAGCTCCTCGATGTAGAAGACACCTCCAATTGGTCCCTTTCTTCACAGCTATCTCCGGTCGTGTGGGCGCAAGGGGTTGCAGATGTCGCGATAGCGTGTCCACTTCCCCAAGGCGATGGCACCAAACACGCTAGCTAATTTACAAGCCACTCTTCAGCCGCCGTTGCGTTACGTCAGCATGGGCTTCAGCCTCACGCGCGCTAGCTGCATCGTGCCTGGCGGAGTGGATCTTTGGTTTGTGCGACGACCGCGGGAGCTTTGCCTAAAGCACAAGGCCATGACGCGATCATCGCGACGACAAAGTGACGCTTCTCCGCCGTATGCTATTGGGTACCTGACTTTGGAGGGAAAACAACGCCTAGATCTCTAAGCTCGCTGCACTACTTGCTTCTTCTCCACATACCAAGGTTTCCATTAACTGTCCTTACTTCGTGCGTCACACCACCCAGCACGACACACAGCACCTTCCACTTCATCTCTGTCGCTCTAAACCTCCACCCTCACCTCCTCCCACTCCCACCTCGTCAATTGAAGGGAGACAGCAGGACCAACAGCAATCATGTCGCCTCTCTCTGTTCCTAAAATTTTCATGGCTGGCGGCGCCGTCGGCTTCGGCTACTACCTCTTCATGCGCCAATACTGGTTCCCCAACCCGTACAAGACACAGGGCGTCCAGAACATTGAGGATCGCTTCTCAGCTGGCGGAGGCCACCCTACGCACACACCTGCTGGAGGAACCCAGCGCGGTACGGGTATAATGAGCTCCCCAGACTTAAAACCCTGGAAGTATATAGAACGGAGTTTGCTGACATCAAGCTTGTAGGCTCTGCATCCGCAAACGAAGGAAGGCACGACGGCCCGAGCAAGGGCCCAGACTCGGAGCACTTCAAGAAGAACATCAGCGACCAGCAGAGTGAGGTATGTGGCACACTGATTTCGATGCCCAAGGACTGTGCTAACGTGCGATAGCCTGTCTGGCCGAGCAAATTCAACGAGATACAATACAACAACCCCAAGGGCAAATAAGCGACTCCGGACCGATCGAGCAGACACAAAAAAGCATGGCAATATACAGCCAGGGGGCATTGGGCATCTGATGAATGGCATCATTGGCGTTTGGCAGATAGCGATGCACGATAGCATCCTGTAGATTTTTGAAACCCTCACTGTTGCGGCCAGTCGAGCGCAATGAGGCCCCCAGATGATCGAGAAATAACAAACCCAATTTTCCAAGGAGCGCCCAATGCCGTGTCGATGTCAGCAACTCTCGGTACCTGATGAAGTCCATACTGTTCCGCGTAGCTGTGGAGGTGGAACTACACATGCCGGGATCATATTGACGAATAAGCAACGTCACACCGCAACAAAATGAATCGAGGTAATGCAGCGGAGGAATTCAGCAAGACAGTGTTCACACGCGCTGGCTTTTTCGAAAAGTGCGACGTATAGAAATGCCGGTGATTATGTACGAAACAATCCAAGGCCTAGATCTTCGCATTGCCCGTTTTCCTTGCGGCTGTATTCCTAGCAGCATCCAACACAAATGCTACATGATGGCTCAAAGCCACCAGATCGCCATCAGCATCGTGCACCCACACTTCCAAGTCCATCCTACCGTTTGCTACCTTCTTCATACCTGCCCTAACCTGCAGCCACTTGACTCCCTGCGGCGGCAGCGCTTTCTTGATGTCCAGATTCAGGAGGAGGGTTGGATACCAAAAGGGCCCCTCTCCTTCGCCCTTGATTGACTCAACCATCAACGGGAACATGTCTGCGACAAAGCCGACCGATGAATCCGTGAAGTTTGTCCCATCAGAGAAGCAGATCCACTCATCAGCGAGATGCTTTAGACTTCGTCCTTCCCGAGGGAAATAAAACTTCACCCTCTTCGTCGCTTTTCTGAAGTTGGCGTGCGGCAGTTCTGGTTGGAGCCTCCAGTTTGTATCTTCATCATTTTCCAGCTTTGTCAGGTCAACTGACGGAACGGGCGGTGAAAGCTTATATCCAACATCTTGGGTGAAGCCCTTTTCCGTCTCCATATTGGAGTTTGTGACGTACGCGACGACTTCCTGTCGGCCGTCTTGCTCCATGGTCACATGTACGATAGACGTTTGGCGACCAAGTTTCACATCGTCGACTTTGTATGTTGCGGGCCCGGCTTGGGTCCGTCTCAGGAACTCAATGTGGAGAGCTATGGTGTGTGGCTGGTTCTGCTTCGCCAATGTTGTGCTGAAATGTGTTTTGACTACCTCCAGTATGCTAAGAAGTCGAGATGTGGTCAGTCAAAGGTGTGAAGCAGAATGCGATGGACCTTACCATCCTGTAACGTAGCCACCATTAGGAACTGTTGCCGTTAGTAAAAGCGGATGATGTTATCTCTGCTGGGGTCTAAAATACCGCTTCCGATGCTCCAATCATCGTGTAGTGTGCATGAGTACGTGTTGGAGGACAGTTTCTGTACTGCAGTAGCTTCTTCCCAACTCGGCATCTTGATAACCTAATAGTGCGGAACTTTCGTGTGTTTGGAGAACTAATAGGTCTATATGGCCAGGCTATCGATGTTCGAGGTTGTCGCAATGCCGTTGACCTCGGGAGGCCATGTGCAGCTATCGCGCCGCTAACGCCAAAAGCAGAAAGAACCTCGGTCATGGTTGCCCGGAGTTGTGGGGTTTACCCCGGTCGACTAATCATGGCCAGCCGTCTCAATGCGCTGCGTCTGCCCTCGGTATTCCCAGGTCCGTTAGAACGCGACGGGCTATGTCCGTCTTCTCGTTCTGGCATCCTTCTACTTTTACTCTACTCCCTCCATAAGATTCCTTGGCTCGGTACTGATCATCAACACGACACCGATCTTCAACCACTAAGATGCCGTCCGAAAGCCAGTATCCTAGCTTGCCGATCCCAAACGTTGATCTGGTAAGTTTGACATACGGAGATAAGCCCTCTTGTGGAACTAATGCTGACGTTTGTCCTTGATCGTAGTGGGCGTTTCTCTTCGAAAGGAATGACAGGCCGTACGCAGATGACAAAGGTATGTTCTCATGTTTTGTCAAACATAAGTAATCACTAAAACAGGAAATAGTAATCTACTTTGATCCCTACACTAAGCGGTCCTACACATACGCCCAGGTCAAAGATGCCGCTATCAACTTTGGCAAAGGGCTAAAGGCACTCTGGGACTGGCAAAAAGGCGATGTCCTAGCTTTGTACACACCTAACTGCATCGACACACCAGCGATAACATGGGGTTGCCACTGGGCAGGCGGTATCCTGTCGCCAGCCAACCCAAACTACACGGTCGATGAACTTGCATTCCAACTTAAAGACTCCGGTGCAAAGGGCCTGGTGACACAGTTACCTTTCATCAAGAATGCGCAAGAAGCGGCAAAGAAGGTTGGCATTCCTCTTGACCGGGTGATCGTGATGGGCGACCAGAAGGATCCGTCTTACCAAGTCAAGCACTTCACCAGTATCGTCAACACAGCTGGATCTTCCAAGTGGCGGAGAACAAAGGCTAGCAATCCATCGGAGGACCTTGCATTCTTGGTCTACTCCAGTGGAACCACAGGTCATCCCAAGGGTGTGATGTTGACCCACCGCAACATTGTCGCCAACACGATGATGATCAAAGCCGCGGAGGCTGGTAAACTGCAGCCCACAGGAGGGCCAACTGGCGAAGGTGACAAACTGCTGGCTTTCCTGCCCTTCTTCCACATTTACGGTGAGTTCCTGCATGCGCTCATCTAGGTGGTTCCCAACTGACCTCGACTAGGTCTCACGTGTCTAATCCATCAAAGCTTGTACTCTGGTCTCCAACTTGTTGTAATGCCGAAGTTTGACCTGGAGGACTTCTGCAAGTTCATCCAAGAGCTCAAGATCACATTCGCGTATGTGGTCCCACCGATCGTTCTGCTCTTAAGCAAGCACCCTCTTGTATCGAACTACGATTTGAGCTCGATCCGGATGATGAACTCTGGCGCGGCGCCTTTGACAAGAGAGCTTGTAGAGGCAGTTCACAGCAGACTGCAAATCCCTGTCAAACAAGGATACGGCCTTTCGGAAACCAGCCCAACAACGCACACCCAACCCTGGGAGGACTGGGACAAGACCATCGGATCTGTGGGCAAGCTTCTTCCCTACCAAACAGCAAAGTACATGTCTCCAGAGGAAAAGGAGATGGCAGTCGGTGAGGTTGGTGAACTATGGATCAAGGGCCCGAACGTCTTCAAGGGCTACCTTAACAACCCTGAGGGAACCGCGCATGCAAAGACAGCAGACGGGTACTTCAAGACAGGCGATGTTGGATACCAAGACAAGGACGGAAACTTCTTCATCACCGACCGCGTGAAGGAGCTCATCAAGTACAAGGGGTTCCAGGTGCCACCTGCTGAACTAGAGGGTATCATGGTCTCGCACCCGAAGATCAATGACGTAGCAGTCATCGGAGTCTACTCGAAAGACGATGCCTCTGAACTACCGCGCGCCTACGTCGTACCCAAAGATGGACTGGGCAAGACGGACGAAGATGCGAAGGAGATCATAGACTGGTTGAGCGCTAAGGTTGCGCACCACAAGAGACTCCGTGGCGGAGTTAGATGGGTTGATGAGATTCCGAAGTCTGTAAGCGGAAAGATCCTCAGGCGGATGCTCAAGGTGAAGGCGCAAGAGGAGGAGGACAGCAAGGCGAAAGCGAAGTTGTAGACTACCTTTACCTTGTATCAATAGGCGCGAAACATTTCAGATCTACCACCTGTCTCTTACCAGCTGAGCCATTGCGACCTTGTTTGGCTATCAGTTACTTTCAGTTCTTCTGAACCGTCTTCTTCCTTGTCTCCTCTACTCACTCAGCCGAGAGGTATCGCTCTCTACCCATTCAGCCTGTGAAAAGCTTCCAGAACAACCAGCTACTAGTGTAGTCGGCGTACGGGATAAAACAACATCATGCAGAGTAGGTCAAACTTTGATAAGAGATTGCGTTATACTTTCGCGCTGACTCCGTTGCAGGTCCAAAGTCTAAGACGGCCATGCCTACTCTCGCCGATACACCTACACCCGCACCAAAGGGTGCGACCAAACGCAAAGCAGAAGTCGTCATCGACCTCGAAAATATGCCAGACAAGAAAGAAGTCAAGCCGTTCAGACCAGTCAGCAAAACTCCTGAAGAGAAGGAGGAAGAAGCCTTCTTCCAGGTGTCTGTCACAGCAAATGCCAAGTTCGACAAGATCCCAATTGCGTTGCGCAACAAACTCGAGGCAGCCTGTCAAACAGCCTTCTACAAGCACATGTTCTCCCTTAAAGCCGGCACGATGCCGGAGTATCGCCAGCAGTACGATGTCTGCCTGGGGTTACGCACACGCACATTGTCTATGAAGTTCGAAACCAAAGTTGCCGTTCCGAACGTCTTGGATCTCAGCATGGCTAACGCTGCACTGTTGGACTACTTCACTAAGTGCTTCAAAGGTACGCATCGTCTGCTGACGAAGGAGGCGTGCGTAGAGCTCAAGAGTCAGGGAGGTTTGCTTAATCCGGAATTCATTGAGTTGTATGCTGTTCGGCATGGCGAGCTGGGGTGGGGCTTCGATGCCGGTGGCTGCCTCTCGCTATACATTACAAGCGTGACTGACCACAGACTGAAGGAAAAGGTTTTGTACGTCAAAGCTGGTGGGGTTAAACTCAAGGAAGAGGACTGATGCATTGAGAGGAGCCTACAGAGCCCCGAGCGCAGATTGAGAAGGTCGGATGTGGTTTGGAATGCGGTAGTGGTGACCTCTGATTTATGGTTTTTGAGTTAGTGGGAGCCTCCTCAGGCGTCAACCGGATGGTCGACGACGGAATCTTGCGGGGCCATTTTTGCTGCATCTTTTGCTTGGACACTGCGAATGTCAACACTTGACACCAATGATGTTCGTTCGCATCCGGGGTGGAAATGTGGCGTGGTTCTTCTTCTGTGCCTGTGAAGCTGTTCAAGACTGGACGATGGTGATGGCTCGACAACAGATCATCACCGAAGATAGTCTGTGCATACAAGCCTTTCAGTAGGGAATGCAATTCAAGCCTTTAAAGTTGGTGTTTGTGGTTGCCGTCCAAGAGCACCAGTTGATCGGGGAGAGCACGTGCCTGCTTACAGCTAGCGCCATCTTGGCACCACCGCACAGCCGAGCCAAAATTACCCTCTCAGATTTGCGACTCTGAACCCATCTATCGACAACATCACGACCGTCACGATGCCGAAAGAAGTCAAGCAGAAGTCTGGCCTCATCGTTGGCCTTAACGCCGGCCACAGTACGTCTCCCCGCTCGCCGCTCTCGATACGCACCGATCGCTACAGATGAGAAAATTCGTGGATGTAGGCTAACACGGTCTACAGAGGTCACCCCCAGGACCCCCGCTCCCAGGATCTCGAGGAGGAAGGGTTTCCTGTCGAAGCGCACTGCCTTCGTCCGTGAGATCACCAAGGAGGTTGCCGGGTACGTTCCAATCCGATCTTTTCTGCAGAGGGACTGCGCAATTGTTCGCCGAACAGCCCGCTAACTTGACGTGTCTACAGTCTTGCCCCATACGAGAAGCGCATCATCGAATTGCTCCGAAACTCCAAGGACAAGCGTGCCCGCCGCCTAGCGAAGAAGAGGGTACGTCTCCCACCCTAGCACACCACGACCGACCTCCTACCCGCTCCGGCACATCCAAGTACGAACATCAACTAACACATCACAGCTCGGTACCTTCGGTCGCTCAAAGAGAAAGGTCGACGAGATGACCCGCGTCATCGCTGAGTCCAAGCGCGCTGGTCACTAAACGGTTCACGAAACGCGGTGGATGAAGCAACACGGCGGACGAACGACCGACTTACTTTCCGATTTCTTCCTGGGTGTTCGGTCTCTTTTCACAACGGGCGGCTCGATACGATCTCGGAACGTCACAACATACCACAAAAAGTATGACACGATTCATCGGAGTATGGCAAATGGACAATGATGGTTCCTGAACGTACCTAGCATGTGTCACTCAAAATCATGAAATGTGACGATTGGTTCACGCCAAACCAACCTGTCCCAGTGCACCCATGCGCGTGAGGTGCTGATGCGTTGATGCCTACCTAGCATGGATGTCAAATTCCTACTCTATTGCCCTTATCAATGGCAGAGTAAGGGCCGAGAAATGCTTATATTGAAACGCGCCTTGCTCGGAGACGAGACTGCTCAGGCTTCACACTTCCTTGTGTGGGTGAGGCCTCGAGCAGAGGCGTGGACATTCCAACAACTTATATGATGTCTTTTGTCACACTTCCAGACGACTTGCGATGCGATACAGCACATGCAACTCACTCTAATGTCTCGATCAGACAATATTAGCAATGACTGAGTATTTCATATCATTCGCGGGAATTGAACATCATGCATTAATCGTAATTCTGTCAAAACCAGTAAATGCTCCAAGATGACTCCATGTAACCCTAATGGCCACAACGATGACAGTGTAGCCGTTTAATCATCGTGACCAATCTTCTCCAGTTTGCCAATCTCGCGCTTCTCGCCAGTCTCGCCCACGAATCTGATACGGTCGATACGCGTCTTCTCGCTATCGCCCTCGGCGTCCGCGACAAACAGTACTAGCGAGTATACGTTCTGGAACTTGACGAAGCGCAGTTCAAGCTTGGCCGTTTGTGTCTGCTCATCCCAATCTGACGGCTTCAGCTCGATCGTCTGAGTCGCTGGGATGTCTTCGGCCTCTTCGAATCCCAGATTATTTGCCCTGTTGGTCCAGACGTGAATGGTCTTTGGCCGCACTGGCGCTTCGTCGTCGTCTTCGTCGCCGGATACGCAAGACGTGATGTGGATAGTGTGAACCTTCAGGTTGGCCATGAAGGGTACGTACAGCATGAGCTGGTTGTCGACATCGCTTTCTACCCAGTCCTTCTTGCCTTCTGAGCCGGTTGCCGCACCCTTGCCCTTGTTGAGCGAGCTCGGTTGTGATGTCTCGAAAAGCGTCTTGACGGTGCCGAAATCGCTGTCCGCGTTGAGGAGATCGAGACCCCGTGGGTCCACGGAATCGGTCACGTCGGTGTATCCGCGTGGTAGACTGGCGCCTATCCACGGGCCGCTTCCACTGCTGCTGCCCCCTGCACCAGAGGCGCCACTGTTTCCCTTTCCATCGTTCTCTGCCTCCGTGGCGAGGGTCTTGATCGCCTCGGAAAGCTGCTGTGGATTTGAGCCGGCGTACTTCTTTATCTGCTGGTTGTTCTTGTAGATAATGAACGTTGGGGTACTAACAAGCGTTAGAAAGCGCTCAAACATGTGGCCGTGCTTGGGGAATGTGCATACTTGGTGACGTTGTAGCTCTGTGCAATCTGCGCCTGCTGTACTGTGCTGACTTTGGCGAAGGCGATCTGTCCGGGCCGAGTGAGTTGACCGGCTAGTTGGTCGTATACGGGCGCAATCGCTTTGCTCGACGTGTTTTCTTCATTGTAGACTGCAAGTACCACACATTAGCATCCGGAGTTTGCCTCGTAGATGCCGGGTCGCTGCTTACAATTGATGACTACAATGCGCGAAGAGGAGAGCAGCTCGCTCAGCACTGCAGGCCTCGTGATTTCGATGACCCTGGACATGGCTGTGGGTGTATTTGGGAGCTGGTGGTGTTGGCTGTAGAAGAGGCGCGACTTGCACAGAAGGAAGCGCCCGACAATTAGTGGGGCGCCATCAGCGCGGGGTGGTGGCATTCCGTCACCGACGTGTGTACCTAGGCCGGGTCCCATCTGCAGGCACCGACACCTGCACACGCGGCAAGGCCACCCCGAAGCTTCCAGAAAGATAAAGCTGCAATCGCGAACAGCCGCCCAAACATCTGCTCCCTCAACATCACTGGAGCTCAGGAAGACGACCACCCGCCGAGTCTATATCTATTCCATCGCCGTCGGAGCATCGTCCTCGCCATCGCCCGCCAACCACGTCCATCACCACCGACCGCGGTGACTGCGCTGTGAAGCCATACAGGCCCACGAAGGATTGGTAAGCGCCCCTACTGGCGTTGACCGTCCGCGACACTGTGAACATCCACCTAATCGCCTCTATGGCAGGCCCAAACAATCTCCTACTCAGCTTCGCCGAAGCAAAGCTTCTACACATCGCTAGCATTATCCTCCTGGTCGAACGGAGCGACGCCACCCGAAGAGCCCATAGCTGGAACTGCTGGTACTCCCGCGCCATTCTGATAGCAAACGCGCCTGCTGCTTTCCTTCTCGCCCACGGCCTCTACCGACTCCTACGCGCATGATGTCGCACGTCGTAGTATTCAACTCGTACGCGAGGACTTTCAAGATCCCGACGACGCCCACCAAGTACTTGACAGAGGTGCGCGATGAGGCGTGCCAGAAGTTTGGTGTCAACAAGGACCAGTTCACGCTCAAGTACGCCCCAACATGACAACACGTTAATTCACTACTGACCAGTGTACAGATACAACAACAAAACCATATCCCTATCGCAACAAATACGGCTCGCAAACCTCCCCCAGGGCGCCCGATTGGAACTCGTCCAGGCCTCGCGATCACCCACCGTCATATCCGTAGCGCTCCAGCTCCCCGCGACCGAGAAGAACGTACGCCTCACAAGCAAGTTCGCGAGCAACACTTCGTTATGGGAGATCTTGCGACACTTTGAGAGTGGGCAGGGGGCCAACTACAACTTCACACAGCGCGGCATCCCCGAGATGAGCGGCGCATCCGGTGCTGGCAGGCTGCACTACGAGCAACCTGTCATCACTGTCATGCCAGGTCACAAGGAGCAGGCAAACTTTGTTGAGCTACAACAGACTCTCAGTCAGCTGGGATTTGATAGCGGCTCAGCATTATTAAAGCTGTCCTACAGGAATAGCGGAACGCCGCTGGAAGAGGCCATGGCACAGATAACGCAATACTTCAAGTCCAGCGAGCCTCCGTCTGTCGGTGCCGAAGGCGCACACGCTTCGACAACTGATCAATTAGCCTCAATACCAGACCCTGCCCAGTCAGCTCCGGAGGCGACAGAAGTCGTAGCAGGCGAAACTGTTCGTAACGAAGAGCCCGATCCAGAGCCGATGGAGGTCGACTCCAAACCGGCCGCTAAACCTACACAAGAGCCCGAGGTGTCTACCGAGAACAACGCGGCTGAGAGCATAGAGAATACTTCTCCAGCAGCAGCATTGGCTGCGGCAACGTCAACAGCGTCGTCCGCACCCGTAGAACCCGTTCAATCACCAGCACCGACCTCCCAACCATCATCACAGCCATCTGAACAATCTCGCAACGTCCAGATCTTCTCTGCGCCAACATCGTCCACTCCGCAAGCAGCGCGAAATGCCTTCAACGAGAACGACTACCTCCCTACCGTTGAACACGCAAAAGCACATCAAAACGCGTTGTTGACCAAGACACGCAATACGCGTCTGTTGTCTGACAAAGAGTTGGAGGAGCAAGAAAAGGAGCGGCAGGCCAAGATTGACGCTGCAGCCGAGAAGGGCGGCGCACTCCGCATTCGGATGCCGGATAATGCGCTCATTCAGATGAACTTCACAAAGACCGATACCGCCGTCGGCCTATACGACTTCGTACGCGGCTTCCTGGAGAAGAAGAACGAGCCCTTCCAGCTCAAGAACACGGGTCCAACAGGTCGACTCGTCCTCATTCCCCAGGACAATAAGCGCTTAGTGCACGATCTACGTTTCTTCAACAATGAGCTCGTCACGTTCCTATGGGCAGACAACGCTAGCGCGGAAGCAAGGGCCAGCCGACATGTGCTCTCGCAGGAATCGCAAGCGAAGGCGCAGGCGCTCAAGGTCGAGGAACCGGTACGGGAAGAGAGGGCTCAGCCGCAGGCTTCTCAGGGCCAGACGGTTGCCGACGGCAAGCGCAAGGCTAACATGAGCAATGAGGAGAAGGAGAGCAAGCTAAAGAATCTGCTCGGGAAGGGCTTGTTCAAGAAGAAGTAGAGGTATTGCAAATGGGGATGGGATATTAGACATTCGCGTGTTTCCAGACGAGCATTTTCAGGGAGTTTGGCATCGGCGACGGAGCGCTTTCTTCTGCAGTGCAGTGTATCCTGCCATTTGGCAACTAGTTATTAGTAGCAATCCAGGATCATGATCAAGAAGATCACAAAACTTCGTTTTCACGATTTCACTCAGCATGGAGAGCTGCCAGTTGGTATCGAGGAGTCTAACGTCGCGTGTCGGGGTGGGTCAATGATGCACTTTACCAGGTTGCTAATTAGCGGAAGACGCCTTCCCAAGCTAAACCTTGAGTGAACATATCTCCTTCCTTTCGACACCATCACAGTATCATCATCATCTGCACAATTTGCTCTGGCAAGAAATTCATCATGAATCGCCCTCGTCGACTCGATAGATTCGTCATTGACAGTGATTATGGCTGGCAGCCTGTGTTCTCGTTCACCGCGCGTCGCAATCGGCACCAAGGGGGCTAGATCGCCTTTGCTCCCAGTAAACACATATGAATCGGGCGACGCATAAGAGCATGGAAGCTGTGGCAGATATGATATGATGACCTCGATATGTCCCTGAAAGGCCTTCATTGTTAACTGAACTCGCAAGGGCACCAGGCCGTAGCATCCGCTAAAGTTTCGTCTTCACCTTCGATCATGTTTACATAACTGGATACAGCGTGCATGCTTGACGTTACAAGGCAACAACTCTCTCCTTCACCGTGCACCACAATAGCCAGATTCGGTCGTCCTGCCGCCCGAGCTAGCAGCAAGTCACCCTCACCTTCACCGCGTGTGCGGCAGTCTCGACAGATAGTCACTGTTTCCAGCTCAAAGCTCCGTTGCCTAAACACGACAACCCAACAGGTCCGCAGACACGGTAAGTACTCGGCGCCGAACCTGCCCAGCAGATACTGGCACTAAAACAAGCAGATGCAACCAGAAATCACCATCCTAAGCTCTGATTCGAGCAGCTCGGGCGACGACGACGATATCATCTTCGTCCGATCGGTCGAGAAGCCACGCGCCCCGAAAGGCAACGGTCGTCCAACCAAGAAGCGCGCAAACCCCAACAACGTCTCAGCTCAGACGGTTTCCCCAAGCCCGGCGGCCAAGAAGCGGAACGTCGGACCTCAGGATACAAAGCGCACGAAAATCAACAACGTATCGGCTCAGGCTGTCACTCCTACCTCTGCGACCAGAAAGCGAAGCGAGGGTGATCAAGCTAAACCACGCGTCAACTCCAACAACATCTTCGCTCAAGCTCTCTCACCAAGCCCTGCGGCCAGAAAACCAGTCAGTATTGGTCAAGGTCCAATGCATACAGGACCCTCTGACTTCTCGATGTGGGCGGTCTCCTCGAGCTCTGCGGCCAGAGCGCAGATCGGCGATAGAAATGCCTTGGCTATTGCTGCTAAGATCAACACCACGGCGCGTGGTCCAGGACAGAACACTACATTCATGCTCGCGACCCGCAACGTTCTGGAAGCAGCACTGGGCAAGGAGGCCTTGGAAAGCCAAGAGAAATCCCTCTTCGAGGAGCAAAAGCGTACTGATCAGTACATCGCGCAGCTGGAAGAAGCAGTCAAGCAGAAGGGAGGAGTAAACGTTTCGCACAATCTCATTGCCCAGAATCATATAGCCATGTTGAAGGCGAGGTATGAGGCAAAGGAGAAGACCGCCTCGACAGAGATCAAGATACTTCGCGAGAGTAACAAGAAGCTTACAGAGGACAAGACAAAGCTCACGCGCAGTGTCAAGCTAGTTCGAGACGGACATGGCGCTGTGGAGGGCATGGCTCAAGACGATGCTAGTGCGGAGATTCAGATACTTCGTGAGACCAACGAGAAGCTCTCTGATGAGAAGAGTCAACTGTTGCGCACCATCAGTCTCCTCCAAGATGAGACTCGTATGTGGAAGAACAAGGCAAAAAAGAAAGAAGCTGCCGGAGAAGATCTGAACATACTGCGCGAACGCAACGCAAAGCTCACAGGAGAGAATGCTGAACTTGTACGCAATGTCAAGCAACTCAAAGACGAGCACGAAGAAGATCTGAAGACGCTACGTGAACGCAACGAGAAGCTCACAGGAGAGAACACCGACCTCACAAACAATGTCGAGCAACTCAAAGACGAGCATAGTACTCTGCGGGCCAACGTCTCCGCCTTGACACAGGACCTCTGTGAGCAGAAGAAGCTCTTTGCGTCCAAGAAGATGCGACGATCCAATGGAGACGTCAAGGCCGCCATAGCTGAGACTAAGAAACTCAAGAATGAGATCAAGCGCTTCAAGGCAAGGAACAAAGGGTTGGCTGCACAAAACACCGACATGTCCGGCAAACTCGCGGAGCTGGGCACTGAGCGCCGTACCACTCTCGACTACCAGAAAGCCGCGAAACAGTCAGCAGAAGAAGCTTCAGTCGCACGCGAGCACATCGAGAAACTGCAACAACAACTCGTCAAGTTGGATGGAGACTTCCGCGAGCGAGGTGAACAGCTTGCCGAGCTCAGCCGAGACTCCGAGTCGAAGCACGAGATGAGGATGCAGAAGAAGGCCGCCATCAAAGACAAGGGCCTGCTACAGACGCGTATGGTCGGTATGTTCACGCACTATCGGAACCTCTTCAAGAAGAATAAGGTTCTGCTGGAGAAGCTGAAGTCGACGGCTGAGGCTGGGGCAGATGGACAGGGAGGAAAGGCTTACCGTAAGGAGCTGAAGCTGTTGAAGGGTCAGCCGCTTGAGAAGCTCAGCGAGTTCAAGAATCAGGACTAATCAACTTTATCGGCGGCCGTGCACGGCGAGGAGGGTGTTGGAATCTTACGAGAGACCTTCGTCGCGGTGCAACAAGCGGACATCTACTTGGTGGATTGGTATTATGAAGGGATACTTGATGTGCATCGTCGATCATGTTGATGTACGAGGAGAGGAGCTTGTCGGCTGAATCATCACCGCAGCCTTTCATGTCTTTCGGACTGGAACATCGGCTGTCAAGAGTATGAGCATGGCGAACTCGCTGAGTAACTAGTACAAGCTCTAATTTCTCCCAAATCTCCTACATTTCTTTAACACGTAATCGCTGTGACGTAGAAATGGCAAGTAGACGCTGAAAGGCGTCGTGGTAGGGAATAAATATGAGATGAGGAGTGCCGAAATGAATGCTTGCAACTCGCAGGTAGGGCTGAGTAGGTGACTGCGATCCGTGATATGCATACTGCGTCCGAGATCACAAGATAGCATGTGTATTTGCTATTTAGCCCACGCGCAGCACTCATTGAGCGCAACTCATTTAATTTCCAAAGTTGTATAAGACAACCTATCTCTCGCCATCCGGTACCGTTCTCACATCACACCATCACGTCATGTCCACTTCCCAACAAACCAAACAGAAAGCCATGGAAACTACTCTCCAGCGCCTCCAAAACGAGTTGAACACCATGAAGAACGACACAAAATATCTCCCCAGCGAGATCAATGACCTGCGAAACAAGAACGCAGATCTCGAGAGCAAAATGGCTCTCGTCACTGCAACTGTCGCCTTCACCAACACTGTCAATGCTCTCACTGCCGAAAGCACCGCCAAAATCCGCGACGACGCAGAAGAAGGCAGGAAGACCATCACGGATAAGATCAAAGAATCCCAATCCCTGTTGGAAACCTGCGTGGAAGAAACCGTGAGGGGGGAAATGGTTCTAAACATGGTTTCATGTATGGTTATGGATCAGATGAAGACTGAGGCGATGCAGGAGATGCAGAAAGAATATGCGAGGAAGGCTGTGACTGTTGCGGGACCGGAATGGATCTACGAGAAGTTGGAGTGGATGGTGGGGAATGCGTTTGAGAAGGTTATGAAGAGGATTGACGAGCTTGAGAAGTAGCTGATAGCTAAGATGGAAGGACGGAGGAGGGAGGTGACTAGTTGAGACGTGGGGCAGATGGTTGTTGCCTTTAGATCCGTGAGCGCATTCCAATACCTAGGTGTTGCCTCGGTGTGTTTAGCACCAATCTTGTAGTATTTATCATCAGCACAGGCGTGACACAACACCTTGATTGCATCATCGCTGATGGAAACAAGGCCAAATCATTGTTAAGATGTGCAATCGCCTCGTCACTAGGAGGCCCTTAACGATCGAGGACGGCTATCGAGCTCATAGCATGCGTACCACGAATTAGAAAACCGCTGATTTGCCATGTAGTCATGCGATCCAGTCATTCGGTTTGTGACAAACCCACAAGGGATGTAATGTAGTAGCACTATAAGACACCCGCTTTCTCACTTCTTCCTATCCTGTTCATCTTAACTCTCATCACCACAACGACAGGAGACACAAGCTCAATGGACCCCCCATTCCTCCAGAAAAAAGACATCAAACCGGCCACCCAACCCGCCAAAGATGCTCGTCAACTTCTCTTGGAGGACATCAGTGCAATCAGAACTGACATACAAAGTCTTGCCCAACGATTCGATCGCATGGAACGCAATATCAAGACCGCCAACAAATCAGGACTAAATGAAAGACTCACTTCATTCGCCAAGGCGGTCGCCGCCAGGAACCGGGATGGAAAGTGGGTTAATGCTGAGGCTGCGGACAAATTGACCGAAGAGTTGAGGGAGGAGGAGGAGAAGATGGAAGAATCGGCATACTACTGGTTCAGAGACTTGAGGGAATGGCTGAAAAAGGGCTTGGCGAACGTGGAGGAGACTGAGAAGAGGTCCCGTGAGTACCTAGAGGGGGTGTCGAAGAAGATAGATGCGGTTATGGACGAGCAAGAGTGATTAGGAGAGTAGGCGTTGGAGTAGACCGACTTCGCCTAGCATAATGTCGAAGAGCAGTTAGTGGCATGAAGACATGGGACATGGGCATGGACAGGCCTAGAGCTCAGTGTATATCTCCGTAATGAAGACGTGAAGTCATAGATTAAGCAACTAAAAGTGATGGTACTCTTTCCGAGAACACGCCGTAGCATCAATCTCACTCCTCCCGCGCAAGGCAGTGTGTCATGTCGCCCATACTCAAGTACGAGAACATTCCAACTTCATTCTCCGACCAACTTGCAGGTTCTCTAGACTTCGCACCATGCAAACAGACAAACCAGGTCATACCATATAAATAAACCACGGGATAAGTCAATGGAAAACAACGAAATTACGAAATGTCACTTCCCATCCAACCAATTCCTTTCCGTGAGGAGATCAAAACTCTGATTGAGCGCATCGCAGCTCTACAGAAGGAACTCAAGGAAAAGACAGACAGACTCCACTTCCTCTATGGCTTTGAACTGAGGTCTTCCGCTGCGCCGGTAGGCAACGGCAACGACAATGAACGAGCCGAGCACGACACAGATGATGAACAAAGTGAGGATGAGCAAGAAGACGAAGCAAAGAAGACACACGTCAAGAAAACAGCCGCCAAGGCAAAGGTCAACAGAACAGCCATCAAGAAGACAAGCGTTAAGAAGGGCGGAAGCAAGAAGGAGCCAAGACTATGCAAAAAGTGTGAGGAGAACTACTTGGAAGACAACGCCCGTTCCAACTGGGTGAACTGTAAGGAGTGTAGAGATAAGAACACGGAGGTGTGGAATGAGGGACGGGCAAACAGGGAGCGAAAGCAGAAGGAGCAGAATGCAAAGCGAAAGAAGCAACAGGGAGATGAAGTGGAAGCAGATAAAGTAGGCGACGAAGTAGAAGAGGCCGAGGAAGGAGATGAAGAGGATCTAGAAGAGGACTCAGAAGACGAGGTACAGGAAGCAAGGAAGGATCTGCGCAAGCAACCTAAGAACAAGTCTGGAACAGTTGCTTTAGAACAGACTTAGCTTGTCACCCTCGTGCAGCTCCAAGTATAGCACCATCAAAAATCTCATATTCGTCACCACAAATGCAAATAACCTAAGATAATATCCCCTTTCTTCCCCATCGTTCATGTTTATGCCTGCCCAGGACCCAATCGCTCATGCCATGGTATAGTACCCGAATGAATGACGCCAGTAAATGCTTCGACAAAGCTCGCTGAACCCATTTTGATGCCGCTAAAAACAGACGTAAAAACAAACATACGCTCGCTATGCTCTTAGCCCCAAAAGATAAGAATAGTCCAAGACTAAATGAGTGTGATGCCCAAAACACCAAAGCAACAAAGCGATGAAATCAAGGAAATATATGTTATGACATGATGTCGTGTTAGATAAGAGGGCCCGCCATCATAAGACTTCCCCGCGTGTTGTTCGTCAAAGTGGGTTCATATGCTCCGGGTGAGCCCGAGGAACCTGGCCGTGGTCGGTAGTAGCTGTTTGCATACTGTGCGGGAGGAGCAGCATAAGCACCTTGTTGCTGTGGGAGAACACCGGGTGGCGTAGAGTTTAGCATGTTGCGGTTGCTACGGCGTCGACCAAGCACTGGTGATGCAGGAGCACCTTGAACCGTCCCAGTGGAGTTGCTGGACTCGTTTGAGTTGCTCCTCACGTGTTGTGCTGTAGCTGGCTGCTGCATCTGAGGAGAGCCAGTTGGATTCGCCGGACGCTGGAAGCCTTGTGTGAAGGGATTGGTACGAGCGGGCACACTCGTGTCGCGCTGACCAAGTGCTTGTCTTCTGGTCTCGATAAGTTCCCGAGCCCGAAGATTGCGTTCGTCCGGAGTCAGCCCGACGGAACGAGCAGCAGGTTGCGCAGGGGCTTGTACGTTCTGTGTAGGTGATGGGGGAGGTCTCCCATTATCAGCCGTGCGCAAGGCTCGTGTGGATGGCTGAGGAGCGAGTTGGCGCCGCGATGGCTGAGGTCGTAGATTGAGACGTGATGGCTGAGGCCTCACACCTTGCGGAGGGTTGCCAGCCTCTCTAATATTGACGCGAGAGCTCGCTGGGCGCAAGGTAGCTACCGAAGACTGATCACGGAGAACTTGACGTGAGTTACGATTGCGCACACCACGTGCCTGCACAAATGCAGCCCAAGGGTTACCGCGTGCAGCAAAAGGAGGAAGAGCCGCACCCTGTACATGCAAGCCCATGGCAGCATGAGGAAACGCGTTCGCTGCAGCAAAGTTGCCAGAGTTCCTCCTGCTATTTGCCGAAGATGGGCGAGCACCGACTCGACTTATAGGACGATCTATCATGTCCATGGCTGCAGCTGCCTGTGTCTGTGCTATCGTATCGATCGAGTGTTGCGAAGAGGCTGAGGAACTTCCAGGGGTCAAGACGGCAGAACTATTGCTGTTGGAACCAACAGAAGGCGCACGATCAAAGCGGCTCATGTTGCCGGCATTGCCCATCGCTGGCAAGCCAGGTGACATGGCGCTTCGTCGAGGTGGCGATATTGGGAGTCGCGGATCCATGATATAGTTCGTGCCGTTGTCCATAAGCGGCGTTCGAATGCGCGCAGGAGGTAGAAAGGGGGAATAAGCTTGCGCGGGACTGGGACGATTTCTGTTCCTTGTTCGAGGACGAGACAGCGGCGTCATGGTGCGTGGTTCGACGTCTATCAAGGCGCCTGCCATCTGGTGTTGTTGGAGAGCTTGTTGATGGGCAGCGAACATCCAGCTGATACGCGGATCGTATTCCCGGCGTTGCACACGAGGAGCCCCTCGCCTGTGCCCCTGGGAATTATCCGAGTTATCATCAGTGTCCGCCTCGTTGGTTCCATCCGCAGCAGCAGGACCCTGGTTGTAAGCGCGAGCTGCAGGGTTTCGCAGATGGGCTTGTGAGCGGCGCGTCCGCAAGGTGTTCAGGGCTAGATCGACGTCGCCATCTTGGTCAGAGTCATCGTCGTCCGCTTCCCCATCTTCGTAGTGGGCTGTCGCGCTCGACAGGACAGAGGATCTTCGGCGGAGACCACGCGAGGTATTCAAGACGCGGACATTGGCGGTTCTGGAAGGCGGGCGTATCGGGGCACTAGGCCGAGGACGATCTGCAGTAGGTGTTAGAGAACCGCCCATTCGGCTTCTGTCATTTGAGTTCGCAAGCGGTTCCCACCCAACGGTCGTCCTTCCTCCATCGCTGTCATCTTCATCCTCTTCTCCCATCTCGTCGTCGTAGTCGCGCTGTAGCTCCCATCCCTCCTCTCGCAACAGTGCTTGTGTATCTTCGTCGAGCTCCTCAGTGGAGACGTCGGTGGAGGTTGTTGACGCTGTCTCACGGGAGGATCTCGACCCGTTTGCCCGATGTAAGACACGGGTTTGAGCAGGATTCCTCATGCCCCTACGAACGGGCCCCTCGTCTTCCTCGTCTTCGTCTTCCTCCTCGACGGTGCTTGAGCGGTTTGATGATGACTCAGATTCGACGATGCGACGTGCTCGGGCACGCGCTCTGTTACCCGCAGGCTGGGCAGCAGGGCCAGGAGTAGACGATGCAGCGCTGGGTGAACTCGATGCAGGTACGGCTTCGTCATCGATAAAGTCGTTCATCGAAGAGTCCTCGTCCAGGCCATCTTCGTCTTCCTCTTCGACCGTATCCATCTCGTCGCCGTACATGTCTGAGACTATGCTCTGTGAGTAGGAACGTCGGCTGCCGGCTTCGCTGTGCGTGATCGGTCGTCGTCTTGCGAATGCCGCTGCATTGGGTGCCATGCCAGCGTCCAAGAAGCGTCGCATCATGAACGAGCCTTGATCTGGGGGGTATGCGCCCCAGTCTTCCATGCCGTCTCCGTAGCCGTCGTAGTCGGGGTCCTCCATGTCCATTTCGGCGTCGAGGTCGTCTTGATCGTGCTCTGACATCTCGTCCATGTCACTGAAGCCGGTGAAGCTGTTGCCCCATGAGACTTCGCCTGTCTCGTCGAATATCAGTCCGCAATGGGTGCATCCGCCGTCTTCCAACTCCCAGGTACACAGCGGACATCGGTCAACTCCATCTTCTTGATCGCGCACGATTTGCAGTGACAAGCGGTTTTGGTGAGGCGGAAGCCTGAAGCAGCCTTTGAAGAGACCACCAGCGCGGGGGTCCGCGTTATCCTTGTCCAGCTGCACAGCATCTGCCTCGTCTTTCTGCCACTTCTTGTGGTCTTCTATGCTCTCGCCCGTGGGTAGTAGTTCGGCTCGCGCGATGAAGACGCTCGTCATGTCTCGTATCTGACCAACTGTGTTAGACGTCGTCGCTGAAGGGCATGCAGGCTGACTTACCACATAGGCGGGGGCGGGCAGGTCCTTTACGACGATGCGGCAGTCGGGGCATGTCTTGCGGGCCTTGTTGGCGACGAACCACGTGCAGAGACACTAGGCATGTTAGAGGGTGGCATGTGCGGTGGGAGGGTGCGCGTCTTACTGTATAGCAGTAGGTGTGCCCGCAGGATATGGTGTACGGTTGGTAGAGTAAGCGGTCACAGATCTTGCATGTGAGATGCGTGCGAAGGCTGTCAAACTCCGACTTGAGCGCCTTGAGCTGCTGGGGACGGTTAGTCGATGCATGTGTCATGCAGTAAAGAGTCTCATACTTCATCTGCGCGGCCCAGCTGTGGCGGCTCGTCCTTCTTGGTCAGCATCTTCTGTTTGAGGCTGTCTTTGCTTGCTGCCCGCGTCGGCTTGTCCTGGTCGATGAGTTTGGAGGCAGACCGGCTGGCCGTCGGCGTGCTCCCGCGCCCGGTTCGTGAATTTGAAGGCATGCCGGCAGACTGTTGCGAGGCAGGCGCGGCATGTGACGTCGTGTTGGAGGAGGATGCGATGGACGAGGCGGAATTCCTGGGGCGAGCGGTGGGCGGGGTTGGCGACGCTCGATTGTCCATGGCGGGCGGTGACTCTCTTTTCTCACGGCGAGGTGCAGCTGGGGGTTGGGAGACGGAGCATCTGCTCACATGGGACTTGCCCTTGTAGAGAAGAAAGACTATCGTTGGCAGTGGTTATGCATGCAGCAGCGGGTCTACTAGCCTAGGCATGTTGGCGCTCGGTCGCTGTTGCCCTTGCCCTCCGGCCATTTGCCGCAGCAGCCGTTCACTATCGACCTTCACTCCATCCTTAGCGCCTGCCGTGGAAAATCACCACCCTCCAGCGCCAACCATCGCCAACCATCCCCATGGCTATCTCTGCTCTCATACCTGGTCATTTCTCATTGGACCCAGTGCTTCTATTGCAAGCTTGACACGCCAATGACGTGGGCCACGCGACTCGTCACGTTCCTGTCACATTCCATTTTCGCCCATGCCATCGTTCAACGTTTTTGCTTCAGGTTTCTTTTGATCCTTTTTCCATTGAGCCGCGGTCCCAAACGACCACAGTTCAAAGACGCCAATACCTGGTATTCCCGGCGCACGAAAGAGGGCCTCTTTCCCCACAAGCTTCCTAGCTTTCGGCGCGGCACCACCACATGCAGACGCGGTCGAATCGACCTTCATTGTTGCGCTCACAGCTCATACCCGTCTCCGCTCCGCTTCACTCAGAGTGCTGATCATCACTGCGGTTGGAGTATTCGTGCTCGACACTTATCAGGTCCATGCATAGCGTTCTCGAGAAGGAGTGCCTGTGATTGTAGGCGGGACCTTGTCGGCTCCTCTAATGCGAAGCATGACAAGCATCCTGGCCGCACTGTTCAAGTGCGTCAGACGGGATATCCTTCAATATCGTCCTCAAGCTGCGCACCGCCCCGATCAAGTCATATAACCTGTACTGTGCACAAGACCGCCTAGCCTGACGAAGCGTGGTGGTTTTCTGCAATTGTAGTCCTGGCCAAATACGTTACCAAGGTACATGATCGCTTGTCAATCACATGCATGAAGCATACAACTCATGACTAGGGTGCTAGCACTATCTCGTAAGTAGAATCGTAAGTTGTGGATGGCACGACAGCCGTCTTGATACACGCGACATGCTGTTTATGTGGGCTGGTCGTCCTAGCGCCCGCAGTCCTCCCGCCCCCACACTGGATGAAGCGTTGATGGAACTAGACGGGTCGTCACGTACCTAGGCATGTATACGTTGGCTAGCCTCTGCGGTTCTACGCGTGGGCATCAATAGCAGGTAGTGAGGAAGCAAGCCGCCAAGTTAGGTCTTCTTGAGTGCAAAGGAATTAGCTCAAATCATTCATAATTGGCAGCTGTTATGGAGCCTAGCAGTCGCAGTATCTGTAATTGGAGGGCTGTCGTTATCAGATACTAAGATCTAGTGCCGGTATTGCGGACCTTGGGATACGCAAGGCAATTAGTGATATCGGGAAAGTGCGTGAGTGCCTCTTGACCTCATGTATGTCCTTATCGATAACGCACCTCCGCGGCGCATCATCCACTCTCGTCGCAACTGCTCCCGGCCATCTTCAGGCTGCCTGACAATTACACGCCAGTACGTGCCCTGTACACACTCTTTACACGTCCCTTTCCTCGCTCTTCATTATGTCCGACAAACCGACCCCCTCGAAAGCCGACGAATGGAAGGGTTCCAAAGCCAGCAAATTCGACAAGTACGCCACCGCAACGATCGCGTCGCAAATGTATGCTGCACACAACAGGCGCTGATAGATCGGTATAGCAAAGCATATAGCGAATACTTTGATCCATGTCAAGAGGCGGCGGACAAGAGTATAAAGTGTTTGAAGAGGAATGGTGGTGAGAGAGCCATGTGCTCGGATTTTTTCCAGTAAGTGCAGCACATCGGAGTTTCAAGACTCAGCATTGCATGAGGAGGTCTTCCGCTAATACGCGTTCAATCAGGGCATACCGAGAGTGTAAAGAGCAATGGGTACGTGTTGTCCACCCTCGATCTAATACGACCGCGACTATCCCTCCATGCCGTACAACGCGTCGCGAAACCGCCACGGAAGAGATGCTAATACCTATACAGCAAGAAGCAAGGAGAGAAGCGAGAAGGAACAAGTCATGGTTTGGTTGAGCAATGCGGGCGAGATTTGGGACGCGCAAATGTACAACATCTCCTCTCTTCATGGGCACGGCGTTTGACAAAGGTTCCTGTAACATACTTGGATCCACTGGAGGTACTGGTCTATTGGACATGGAGATCAATTGACTATTAGATAGTCTGTGGAAGAATGCAAGCAACCTCAGTGCGCTTGCTACCAGATGCGACAAGCAGAGCTTTAATGCCATCGCCGAAGCATCTTCGTCCCAGCCACACACACTCATCTAGAGCTATAGCTTGTACTCTCCTACCGCGGCAAGCGCGAACTCCAGTTCCAATGCCCTGACGTAGATGCGATCACGCAATTTCCCCAGACAAGCCGTCAACCCACCCTCAAGTACTGACGTGCTCGATTCATTGGTCATGCTCGTCGTACTTGCCCTGATTACCTTGCCCTTGCAGCGTGCATGAGGCTGTGTGCTGACGATCTGCACCCCACCACCCCACTAGAGCTACCCCTCCAAGGCATTCCAGGTTCCTTCTTTCCGCCCACAGCCACCTTCCATCCTCCACTCATCTCCCCTCTCACCCTCCAACTTCATGAGAAGCCTGCTTAACCCTTCCTCTTTCCAACGCGCAACAACTCGAGCTTTCACTACGACCGCACGCATCATGGGTGTCCAGAAGACCATCATCCAAGAGGGCAACGGCCCATCCCCACAGAAGGGTGACAAGGTCACCATGGAGTACACTGGCTGGCTCAAGACCCAGTCCGGCGACAAGGGCAAGCAGTTCGACAGCACCACTGGCCGTGGTCCCTTCCAGACCCCCATCGGTGTTGGTCGCGTCATCAAGGGCTGGGATGAGGGTGTTGTTCAGATGAAGCTCGGCGAGAAGGCGAAGCTGGACATCAGCAGCGACTTCGCTTACGGCGACCAGTAAGCCTCCATGATGTTTTCTGATTAAGACCTAGTACTGACTTCATGATAGGGAGTTCCCTGGCTTGATCCCCCCTCACTCTGACCTCATCTTGTAAGTTCGCGTCACATGGGGACTCAACGAAAATGCTAACTCCGCGATAGCGAGGTCGAGCTCAAGAAGATCAACTAGGTCTACAAAGCATCCAACGACGGGAATACACGATGATCGCTATCAGTGAATGGGAATAGTCAGAGGACAAACATAACATTCAATATACTCGGTCATGAAACTCGTTCACCAGTCCACGTTGTCTAATGTGCAGTTACATACTTTCTCATATTTTCAGATCATCATCGTCAAGCTTTCCATTTACGTGCTAAACTAAGTCGTATGTCACAGCATCGCCCGCGAACTACTGAATCTAGCCATAGGAGCATGCTAGATGAGTCCAAGAACACCTAAGCCCACGCAAACTGCAAGACCCACCATGCTGATGGAGAAACGACTGGCCGAACTCTCGGTATGAGTAGCCACCGAGGCGTCTGTGAGCCCATTTACCCACAGGCACATGAGCTGTGTGTCGGGAACACTCAGCGCATTGTCGACGCCTTTGTCTGGCGACCAGAATGTGGTGATGATGATATCAGTAAAGGACCCCACGCCGGTCTCATTATGGCTAAAGGCCAAACTGAGATCGTTGGACTTGGGGAGAGTCGGATGACAGTTAGAGCTCGCATTGGCAGAAGAGTTTGGCGGCGTAGGCGCTCCCTTGCCAGTGAGTGCTAGAAGAAGTTAGCACAGGGCTATCTCTTTGAATGAAATGGGGACACGAACGTATGGCTGAAATTGCATTCCAGGAAGTCATGTTTGTCTTGTCTGTACATTCCGTTGGAAAAGTCTCCATTCCTCTCTGTACGCGCATGCAGCTCTCTTCCGTTGTCTCTGTTGCATTGGACGGAGAGAGTGCCAGCAGTGTGTTGGCCTGGGTTACCAGCGACGAAATACAGCTCGCTCCAATTGCCTCTGCGCAATCCCATGAGTAGTTGCGTCCAAAGGTGGTATTATATATGAACACAGCGCAACCCCGGTACGGCAGGTCGTCGCGATCGAGTTCAAGAGACGGAGGGGTGCCGAGATAGAAGTCTTTCTCCGTGGTTTGGTCCTTTATGGGAACGTCTGTGTCGAGATGGGCGGCGAGTGTCCACGTCAAATTGTTGTTGTCATCGAGGATGGCGGTGGAGAAGGATCTGAACCCGATCCTCTCATAGGTTCTGTTGGTGACATTGCATTCTGCTTTAATGGCATTGCTTCCATCGAGAGAAGCCTCAGGGCAGTGTACGTCGGCGCACGAACCGACGGAACTGTTGAGCGCGTATTGTGCGAAAGCGGAAGACAGGAAGGTGGTAAGTAAAAACGAGGTTGGGAGCAACATCTTAAAGCGATTTGACTTGGCTCAGCTCCACGACAGTACAGCAGACGAGTAGGAGGTATAGACTTGTAGAGGCTTCTACAATCTTGGAGGACGCATGCAAGCCACGGTCTACCACATTATATGTCTTGAGCGCCCCACACCGCTGAGCTTCACTGTGCCACCTTCTCATCAGGCCCTCTGTCACGAAAAGCTTCTTTACTTCTTTACTGCTAGACTGGCTAATTACAAGGTATATGTGAGCTGTTGTACATGAGGCACAGTATACGTGACATGCGCCAAGTGCCGTCCTTGCCGTATAACCACCTGGGCATACTGCGTTGTTCAGGCAGCGAATTTCCATGTGTGATGTGATGGGATTTGATATCTCTGAAGTAAGGCGTCCCATACTCAGTACTTTATTATTGCTCCGACCGCAGCTGTACCGAAAAGATGCCTTGGTCATCTGGAACCCGGGAGACACGACCGGCGAGGCTGACTTGCGTTGATGACTTGGGATGATGCTGGGAAATAGTCAGGCGATCATGAGGAGAAGCGTTTGCGAAGCATAGTCAAAGGGAACTTCTCCATCGGAGAATAGGGTCTTGAAGACCATTGGGGTCGCTTCTGATAGTGCACGAATCGGTTGTCTAAAGCGGTTGATGCCCTCATACAGCCTTGCATCTGAGCGCGACATAGCCCGAGTCATGCTGCCGTCCGTCGTAGCAAGCTTTTCTCTATCATCTGGTACGTATACCAGGAACTTCGAACCCCGATCTTGATGGAGTTGTAGAGCCTGCTCGGTTGCTATCTCTTTGCAGGCTGCCGGGGGTGACACGATCGGGGTGGACGGATTGGCTGTCATGTGGCAGGCAGTTGAAGGTGTTTCTCCACCATAAAGCCAGTTATTGAGTACGTTTCATCGTTTAGTTTATAAGCTCGTATACTTCTCGCGTTACCATGTGCAACATCAGAGTGCGTAGGATCAGGTAGGCGTCCAAGTGGATGCCAATGTATAACAGTAGGTAGATCATGACGTCGGCCATTCATTAGATGATTTCTATAGCTGAGCATGGAAGACGGATTCATATCAAGAAAGCAATGTCAGATATTGCCTGTAGTTGCACGAGGCATGATTTGGGGCGTGGACAAGATGGAAGACACGCTTGGTGCTTGGTGGGGATGGCAGATCTTAGCGCGAACAGCTGATCGCGGTCGCGCGAGAAGAACGCGTCAAGCTGATCTTCTACTTCCAGCACACACACCATGCAGCATGCCTTCCTATTCGATCCACCAAATGTTGTAACATAATTGAATCGTCTGATTTCTCGTCCATGTGATCTCTTCCAAAGCTCACAACGTGTGTGTGGACCCACTCTCGACTATGGAGTTGCAAGCAGTGACATCACGACTGCAGGAGCGACTGCAGTATGCGTCTAGAGCTACCTAGAGGAGGTTTGATGGCGACTCCATTTCTCTCAACAACTTGGTATGCTCCTGCCTTCTCAATTCCTCCGCTCAACGCACTCTGCTCTTCGGCACATCAGCACTCGTCCATTGCTGACAAGTTCACTCAAGTATTCTCCATTCATCGCTACCCCGCTATCCACCATGTCGGCGAACTCTCTGAACATCAATTCGACTCTGAGTCTTCCGAACTCGCAGTACAAGATTCCACAAATCGGCTTCGGAGTCTACCTGTCTCCAAAGGACGTCTGCGTTGCCTCATGCAAGAAGGCCTTCGAGGCAGGATACCGTCATATCGACACAGCCCAGTACTACGCGAACGAAGAGCAAGTTGGTCAAGCGCTGAAAGAAAGCGGGCTTCCTCGGAAAGATGTGTACATCACGTCCAAGATCCTAAGCGCTGGAGAGGACGTCGAATCTACATACAAGAAGGTCGCCGAGAGCGTTGAGAAGCTTGCCGGAAAGGATGGCTACGCAGACCTGTTCCTCATCCACAGCCCCAACGGAGGCAAGGAGGCGAGGAAGTTGATGTGGCTCGCGCTGAAGCAGGCGCAGGAGAAGGGCATCGTGCGCGACATTGGTGTCAGCAACTACGGCATCCAGCACATCGATGAGCTTGCCTCCATTGATAGCAAAGCCAGCCTACCAGCTGTCAACCAGATTGAGGTTTGTCAAACCTCTCATTTGATTGCACAACCGGACTGATAGATACGTTTAGCTTCACCCCTGGTGTCAACAGCGTGAGGTCGTCGAGTACTGCCAGTCCAAGAACATCGTCGTCGAAGCCTACTGTCCGATCGTCCGCAACGAGAAAGCCAACGACGAGACGCTTGCCAGCATCGCCAAGAAGCACAACAAGGAGCCAAACCAGGTTCTCATCCGATGGAGTCTGCAAAAGGGCTACGTTCCTCTTCCCAAGAGCGACACACCATCCCGCATTGTTGGCAACGCCGAAATCTACGGTTTCGAACTTGACAAGGACGACATGGCTAAGCTAGACAGTCTGGATCAAGGAGCCAAGGGCGCTATTGTGCAGGCCGTAACCAATGCTTAATTCGCGTCTGTTACCTCGCACATCATTAACAGGCGTGCAGGTGAATAACCGGTCAGGGGACATGGCGAATGCATCCACGCCTTGGATCAGATCTATGCGCGCAATGTTAGAGGAAACCTACAGGAACCAGGCGCCCACGTACTTCACGCCTGGTCCTCGGTTCAGTGTACAGTTTTCAGACTAGATTAACCGACTAGCATAGCTTCTCGCTCATAGTTGGTTTACTTAGATCCTGTGTCGTGTAGCTAGCT